CTAATAGGTACTTAAATGTGCTATTTAAAACACCAAAGAAGTAAAACTATTTATTCAAAATAGCTTTTTTTAGCAGGGTTCCTTTCCAGTGAAGTGAGCTTATAGTACAGATCTATCAGGATTAGGAGAGGGTCCCTAATATCATGTTTCAGGTAGAAATTTGAAGTGACAGAATAAAGGCGTTTATAACACCTAAATTGAAAGTGCCTAACTCTGTTTTGGAATACATGTTTAATGAAAATATAAACATGCACTTCATATGAAATAATAGCCAATCAAAAAGTCGAGGCACTATGCAGATCTTATTCATTTTAGAATCTTTCAAAACACCAAGGGAAACGATATGTCATCATATAAATGATGAATGGCTTGTTAAAACTGTTATTATTTTTAAAATGGAAATTCTAATAGTAAACCCAAACCAAGAACACCTCTAATTACAAAGACAATTAAAGTATGTCATAGAAATAAAAATCTTTATTGAGCACTTCAGTTAAATAGAGTCCAAGTTAACGGAATGAAAAAAAATGAAAATGAAGCAATATTTTCCATTTAGATCAACACGGCGAGCTAATTGCTGACTTTCACTTAATACACCCTTAACCGCACTGATTAAAAACAACTATTAAGTAGGGTCGAGGAAAGGAGTATCTTATAGCCAAAATGGCAATTTATAATTTAAACAAAACACACTGATACGCTGTCATGGACCACGACTGCGTAAATATAATAGACTACTGTTGTCTTAAATTTTCAAACATGTATGACTGTTGAAAGCAAAAATCAGAGCCTTGTTTGACAGAGTTTTCAGTGTATGCAGATGAAATATATACAAGTACAACATAACGAAGAGAGGATAAAGGAACCTCTGTGCTGTAAGTTTTCTACATTTTATGTAAAATGGTAAAAAAAAAACCCCTAAATACGTGAAAGGTTTGATACCTATCTCGTAATGTCTAAAGTAACAGGAAAAAAAATAGATAAATAAAAATGAACTAATAAAAAATTCAAATAATCCAAAAAGAAGACAGAAAGAGAAAAAGACTGAAAAAGAGTAACAGACTTAAACTCAAAACATATCAATAGCTACATTAAATGCAAATGGTCTAAACAAATCACTTAAAAGACAGAGACTATCAGATTGGTTAAAGAAGAAAAACAAAGCCCAAATACCTGCTGTCTCCAAAAAAAAAAAAAAACACCTCACTTCGAATATAATGATATAGACAGGTTAAAAGTGAAAAAGGTAGAAAAAGACATACTAAGCAACAGTAACCAGAAGAAAGCAAACAGATGGAAAAAGATGCTTTAATATAAACGGTAGACATAGGAAAGCTGATATATTATTATTGAACAAAGTACACTTCAAGGTATTACCAGAGATAAAAATGAACATTTCATAAGATAAAAGTAGGTATTGATGAGGAAGACAATCCCACACAGGCATGCACCTCATAATATCACTGAAAAACACACGCAAAGAAACTGTCAGAGCTAAAGAAACAGACTAACCAATTATAGTTGGAGATTTTAACAGCCATTCTCCAGTACCTAAAAATCCAGCTTAGAAAAAGGACTACACAAATATAAGATTTGAGCGATACTGTAACTACCTTCATGTATAGACATTTATAGAATTCTAGACACACAAATGCACATAGCACAGTCACCCGGGGGGACCACATACAAGACTGTGTCTGTATCAGAAGACTGAGGTTGTGCAGAATATTTTCTCTGACACAATGAGATGTAAGATGAACTAAGACCACAAAAGTTTCAATCAATAGAGATGTGATTCATATTTGCAAACTAAAATATTTTAGAGCTTGTAATTTTAAATTACATATTAAATGAAGTTTCTAACTGCTCTGCGAGTCTGAGACATCTGGAATGAAAACTCGGTGATGTCTGCACTTCTCATAAAACAAAGGAAAAATGATTTCACGGTCACGTTGAAAACCATTTTCTAATCTGATAAAATTTTAAACCGGTCTTGCTTGTTATGCTGTTTATAAGATCCCTTCTGACATTTAGAAAATCTTCAGTCACAAGTTATGCAGCCTCGATCAATGACATTTGATTTCCCATATGGAAAAGGACCGGCGAAATACAGCAGAGCTGCAGAATGTACAACTTGCTGAATATTTAGCACGAGATAACGTTGCTAGGTCAGTTGAGGGTTCCGCTGTTGATATTTAAAAGCGACAAGCATATTTTACAAACTTACTCGATTTGTGTATTAGTAAAAGAAAACTCACTGGTATTATTATCCTTAATTATATATGTTTTATTTTACTATTTTATTTGCTGTGGCCTGATCAAGGATTGGGTCCTGAAATGTTCTTATATTTCTATAGCACGGATAGATCGTATTTGTAGTAAAAACATATTTATATACTCTTTCTGAATATTTTTGAAAAGCTCGATTTCCAGAATAGGAAATTACAAATTGCACTGGATTATGAGGGCTTTATTTCTTTATTTTAGAAATCTTAGAACCAGTGAAAACAGGAAAGCAAAACTTTACAACTCTATGCTCACGAGGGTAAATCTGAGACTAGAAAGCCTTTCGAAAGAAAATCGAATTTTGTTTTTAATGTTTCTGACCGAGAAATTAAGTCTAAAAATAAAGGAAGCCTAGTACACAAAGACCCGTTCTTAAACGCAATCTCGACTTTTTTTTGTATTGATTCAAAGACAATAATGCCATTCAGACTGTAATTACCTCAGATGTTTGTTTTTCTAAAATATAAACAGCTGAACACACTGCAACGTTTTTTCCTCCCCTGAAGGAGAAACAAGACTAATCATCTAGTATGTGAGGGGCAGAGGTGCAGCTTAAAGCAGGACATCTCAGCCGAGGGACCACCGAGATGCGGGACTGACTGCATCATTTCTGTAGTGGGGACTGTCCTACGAAGTGCAGGTTGTTCAGGGCCATAATGGCCTCTGCCCACGAGATGCCAACCATCTTTTGAGTGGCCCTTCCTCTGTGCTGTGACAACCAAAAATGTTTCCCAGGGCAGCCAAATGTCCCTGAGGGATAATCACCCCTGCCTGAGAATGAATGATTTAAATTATTTTATTAAAAAAAAAAATCTTACAAATTCAAGAGCTGTAACTCAGGAGAAATTTAAGTCAAAATGATGATTTGATCTAGAACAGTGGCCCCCAACATATTATCATGGTAACTCTCCTTTTCAAGGTCTAAACCTTGCTATCCCTATCCATACACAGCTATAGAGCAATTAAAAATGCAGCTAGTGCAACTAATGAACTGAACTTTTAATTTAAATTAATTAATTAGCGTCCAAATTGACATGTGCTGCATACGTAAAATACACACCAGATTACAAAGATTTGGAATGAACAAAAGAATGCAAAATAGCCCTTTAATAAGTTTCTATTGATTCCATGTTGAAATGACATTTTGGATATAATTGGTTGAATAAAATATGCTATTAAAGTTAATTTTATCTGTTTCTTTTTCCTTTTTTTACTGTGGTGTCCAGAAAATTTAAATTTGCTTATGTAGCTCATATTATATTTCATTGGTTAACAGGTCTAAAATATTTGATTATCTGTCCAAATAGCTGTGGACTATAAAAACATGTAACACCAAAGTTACTACCTAATCTTAGTAACTGGTATTAGATCAGTGAACTATTTCAACGATTTTATATTTTACAAAATCACAACAGCACCCACAAGTAATTCTTAGTGTACGTGAAGAATTCTGGACTCTCACAAGTATCTCTGGCCTGAAGTTTGAGATATACTGGCCTGAATTTCGTGATGACACGGAATTCATAAGCTGAAAAATATCTGTTACCAGAACCACGTTTCCAATGATCTTCCATTCAGTTTTATCAGACAATTACATTTCTATTTAGCCTGAAATGAACTGATCTTTCCCATCCTCGCTGTCTTTCTCCTTCCCAACTCCACTGCCTTAAAAACCAACAGCAAATAACAAGCTCTTTGGACATTTTCAAAGACGTTCAACTTACAGCACAAAAATAACCCCCTGGTCATTATTAGGTCTTTTATTGGTACCATCAAACTACTAAATGCCTCTAAAATTATATTAACAAAATAATATAATTTTTGACTCCTAATTCTCACAACAAAAGTATCGTTTTATTGTTTTACCTCGTTCAAATCTATCAACCGAGGTAAGTAAAATCTTAACGAGTGTATAAAAAAGGTCCATGAATGTCTGGCTCTACTGCTCCTTAATATTAAATTAACAGAAAAATAAAGCAAAGCATTTGCATAAGCACATAGCAGGATTCACAAAAATAAATCAAGAACAGGTAAAGAGAAATCACATTGGGTCGCACAGCCCAGCACAGTATTCCACTTACGCCAAAAAGGACTTGCAAACCCCAGTTGAAAGCATATGTTCAGCACAGAAGACTATGTGGATAACGACTGAATAATTACAAAGCACTGGTTTGACTTCAAAACTGTATCAACCACGTGACCGTGCATCTATAGGCTGTAAAATGAACTATTTATCAGGTAGTCCACTCCATATTCCTATTCTTGTTTACTTGATTCAAAAGCTTTACATTATTTCTAAAATCTTTTAAGTGTAGAAAGGATGCCATGGATCCCTATTCTCAAGATTACGAACTCTGGGTTAACTAGATTATTAAAAAGATTATGCTCGTTGGAGTTGTTAAGTTTCTTTTCTGGGATGGATGAGGGGACAGGAAGAGAGTGAGAAAGGTGAGCAATCTGCAGCCAGAGATTGGCCATGCTCGAGACAAAGGTTAAGGTGAGCAGGGAACGCTGTACAGAGAGGGAAGAAATTACTTGCCCAGCAAAATTTGACTCGATAGTGTAATTGCACACACACACAAAAATTCTGGACATAAAGTACCCCAATTTAAAATATTTTCAATACAGAATTAAGCTTAAAGAACACCTCGCTGGTACACCTGTTTGTGCTTTATGGCACATAATTATACCGAGCAGTGAGGTCAACTACATACCTGCGAGGGGCTGTTGGGTAAATAACTTTTATGTGCTGGAATGCGAAATCGTGATTTAAGACCTCTTTGATCCATCTTCTCAATCCTTTGCCAGAATCACCTGATGAATCACAAAATCTAGATTAAGACACAGCATTTTGAAAATACGGTGTATTTAAAAGCAGTTTTTAACTTTGGTGTCACGCAGAGGATGGAACGAGGGGAGAAACTTACACATAAAATAACTGTACAGAGACCACTTATCCATACACGTTGATTGATCAGGCGCCAATAGGCAGAAATACTTTTGATTATTTTACTAACTTCACCATTGATCACTTTTAAAGACCTTGTTTAAGACTGAGTTTTAAGTTTCCTCATCTCTCTAAAGGGTATCATAGGAACAAATAAAGTCAATCAATTTTTCTAAATAAAAAATTCTCTTTTTTTTCTTTTCTGATTTTAAACACTGTCATTGCTCATCTTCATTTTTTAAAGACAGTCAATTCCTAAAGTGCCTATAAACTTTTATAGTAATTTTCTTTAAAATAATAAAATCCTTCATAAGGGGGCATCCAGCATACTTTTAGTTTTAACTTGAAGAAATTAGAATTTAATTTGGTCACATGTTTACATGACCTAAAATGAAGACGATATATTCCAAGGCTGAAAATTAACCAAACGTAAGAATTAATATATGTGTATTTCCATTAAAAAAAAAAAAAGTAAACAGAAGGCCAACTCATGTAGTCCTGAACGGGAAATTTTAAAGGTAACAACTTTAATTTTTTAATCAATCCATTCATTAAGACATCGATTCAAAAAATACCTACTGAATCCCTACTAATGTGTCAGGTCAAGAGGCAGCAATGAGGGAGAGAGAATCTTTACTCCTACAGAGTATATAGTTTATTGTGAGAAACGGATATCGTCAAATAATCATACACCTAAACGCGAAAGAGAGACGGAACCGTTACAAACGTGAGACTCTGGTGCAGCATAGGTTTACTGTATTCAGAACCCACCCGGTTGAGGAGCTTGGGGATAATATCCCTCAAATATGAGCTTTGCAAGATGAGGTTCGTTTTGAGTTTTATCCACCGAGACGTGTGTTCATTTCACGCCTAGAACAGGACTGGCACAACCTGGGCGTCTGATGGGTAGGTGTTAAGTGGTCTGAATGAGCGAAAAGCGCAGTGCAGAAGCAAAGGGCACCTCGGATAGCAGCAGGCGAATGCTGAGGCTCAGCCATCTTAGTTCTTAGCTGTCATAGTGCTTCACAGGAAGGAGCAGCATGACAGCTAAGACCCGAAAAGCAGAAAAACGAAAAGCAGAGCGGTGAATGCGAGATGAGGCTAGGGCCATGCTTTTAAAAATAACTGCAATAAAGAGTTTGGCTGGCTTTTGTCCCCAGTTCCTAAGAAAGAGGGAACCTCTAAACTTTTAGAATTTCCTGAGTGATTTGAGTGTCTTTGTTATTCATGGAAAGGCCCTCAAACCACAAGACAGTTTCTGCTCGGGCGATGACTCAGGAGAGGAGCGGGCCAGCCAGAAAGACCAACCATGTGACTAGGAGACTGGGGCTTTGAACCATATGATATCAGTCTGACCTCCAGGGAGTAGAGGAGGCTGGAGACTGAGTTCAAACCCAAATCAGTCATGTCTGTGGAATACAACCCGAATCGAAACTCTGGACAGGAAGCTCAAGGAAGATTCCCTGCTTGACGCTACTCTCTGGGCACCGTCGTACCTCGATACCGAGAGGGTGCTGCACCCCGGAGGACGACAGAAGGTCCAGCTGCTCTGCTCACCTTACTAACACTGTGACCCCCACACCGTCCACCCTCCTTATTCTACTTCCTTATTTGGACAGAACTGTCTTCTACTACATATTTCCTCCACTAGGATGTAAACTCCACGAGAGCAAGGATTTTCGTTTGCTTTGTTCACTGCTGAACGCCCAGGGCCTGGAACAGCGCGTTGCACACAGCAGCCATGTAACAGATATTCCTTGAATGGATGGATTAATGACTGAGTGGTTACTAGGCAGTTGGATAAACATGTCTGGAGCTCACATGAGGCCTAAAATGGAGACACACCTTTATGTCACCTGTTTATAGGTAAAAATAGGGTCCATGGGCTTATATGGAGTTTAGCCGAGGGAGAAAAATGTAGGATGAGAAGAGGCCCTAGGACCAGATATGGAGGAACCTCAACACTGATGGCGAGGCAGAGGAGGATGAGTCCGCAAAACAAACCAGAAGGAGCAAGTAGAGGTAGAAGGAACCAGAGGAGGGATTCAAGAAAGCCCAGTGCTGCCGACAGCTCAAAGAAGAGGAAGATCGAAAAATGCCCATTACGATTAGCAACAGAGGTTACTGGGGACTTTAAGAGCCAACTCCATCAGCTGGCTGAGACTATATGGGGAGAAAGCAAGACATGCATAGTTTGGGCCTCCGTGGACCTTACCTAAGTAAGGTAAGCAGAAATATGACGCATACCATCGCAATGAGAACTACAGAGTCCTATGGAAACATATAATACAGTGAATTAATCTAATCCGGGAAGCTGAAGGAAGCTAATTAAACTATCATTTGTTTTTAATCATCCCTCAAAAAGGTACTTCTTTGGTATTTTGGCAGTAGGAAAGGCACAGATTAAGTTGGCTGTATATAACTTACATTCTCATTTGTTTTTTACGGTTGTCATACGTAACCCAGATGAGAACCTCGGGTTCTTAAGATTAAAACAAACAAACAAACAAACAAAAACACTAGATCTACCTCTAAACACTCTTTTTCAATCTTGAAAAGCAAAGCTGAACGCTATAAAACGTCTATCCACTTAGTCACGAAGTCTCCTTTTTTAAAAGCAAGCACCTTATTCCAAGAGTATGGTAAAACTGTTAGAATTGGTTTGCCCACATGTGGATTAATCAGAAGCCAAACATCTTCTGTAACAACCACATATGTTAAAGTCTAATATAAAATCATACTCCTAATAAGAATTTTATTTACTAAAATGGAGATCTAAATATACAGAAATTACATTTTACTTGCATAATTGGCAGAATTCTTTGGAGCAATACTTTGCTCAAAGTACAAAGGGAAAAACAATATGTACAATGTATAACTCAGTTTCAGAGATATACAGTTACAGGCTATAAAAATGTCATAATTTGAAACCGAAAAGAGTAAGAATAGTTATTTTAAGCACAGTAATCCAGGAAAAGTCTAGGAGTGTTTTCTAAAGATCTTATAAAATAATTAAGTTATTTATTAAAAGGAGTATGGTATCGGGGAATTTCTGGGTGCTTATAAATGGAGTCCTGAGTTGTATTAGTAATAATCGCATAGTCATAAAACTTTGTTATTATTGTAGACATTTCACCTTCTAAATATATTTCATCAGTCAAGTCTTTCCCTTTAAACGTTGTTGGCCCTTTTCTCTCCCGTTTCCAAAATGATACATCCTAGTTCAGAATTTTTTCACCTTACATTTTCCCAGCACTGATTTTGGACTCAGAGAGATCTGGGTTCAAGTCCCAAACCCACCACCTCTTACAGTGATGGCCAAGTGACCTTGGGCACGCTGTTCAACAGATCAGGCCTCAATTCCAAAATGACAATACTTCCCACAACCGCCCGCTTTCTTGGTCTCTACCCTGTGCCTTTCCAATCCCCGCCATCCTCCGTAAGCCTACATATAAGTCTTAGCTAAAAGACCAAGTTCTCTGTCAAGTGTGACAAGCTCTCCATCGCCTTAACAAAGCCTAACCACAATTTTCCCCTCACGATTCACTTGGCAGTAAACCATGCACCATCTTGTGATCGCCCCTGCCCTGCTGACTCAAACTAATTGAACTGTTTTTGTTTTTAACTTTAGGTAGGCCCCCTGAGGACACCGGCTGCATCTCATTTCTTTAAAAAAAAAAAAAACATTTCCCAAGAAGTCACCCTGGGCCAAGGCCTAGGGATGCGCAGAGGAGAAAGAGGGTTCTTATTCCTGAGGAGCTCAAGCGAGGCCCAGTGGGGCAGCGGACCAGTGAATTACAAATGAGTTTAAGAAACGGTATCGTTCCCAAAGGCAGGTAAGTGGGAGAGTATGTGCCCCTGAGACTCAGACTTGGCTTTGTGCTATACTTGGGGGGTATTTAATGACAGGAGGTGGGGACAGGGGGACAAAGGAAGGAGGAACAGGAAGGACAGGCACTCCGGCCCGGGCACAGTGCCTTACAAAAGAGAGATCGTCAATACACATGATTTAAGTTAACAGTGGATCTCAATTGCTTACATTAGTATGGGAGGCGGGGAGGGGGAAAAAATGGCAAAAAATAATCCAACGCGGATGAAAACTCGAATCGCTAACAGCTGACCCTGGGAAGTACTGTCTCCAGCAGAGGACTTACCTTGCTAACTGGCTGTGTTTAGCCCTGGGGGAGAGGGATGGGGGATGGCAAGGCTTGCACTGGAGAACATGTTGGGGATGGGGATGGGGGGCTGGAGGAGCCGCGGGACACGTGGGCCCCCAGCGAGGGCGGTGGGCCGATGGCCGCAAGACAGGAAAAGCAAAGGCGAGGTGGGGACGGCTCGGGACAGACAGGTCGCCAGGCTGCGCGTGTGTCCGCAGCCGCGGGGCGAGCGAGGACAGCCACCCTCTCCCGAGACCAGCGGGCCGCACTGGGGCGCGGCGCCCCCCTCCCTACTGGGGCAGCTCTGGGGGCGCCTGGGGGGGCTGTTCCCCACGCTGCAGAAAACAAAGATGCGAGCTGGAATCCACCTGAGCCATGCAGGAAAATCAGAGAGGCGCTGTGCCTCCCGGCCGGCGACACCACGCACCGCTGCAGGCGAACCGTCCCCGACGCAGCAGCCATGGACGCTGTCACCACTGCCTGGCGCCCCGCCCCGCGGCCGCCGGGGTGACGGAGCCCGGGGACGCGCACGCGCACAGGGCCCGGCGCGCTCCTGCCGCGGGGTCAGGTGGGAGGCGCCCCCAGCTTCTCCCAGTTTGCTTTGGGTGAAGGATGCTGTTACGCAGGTGATGGCTTCGGTAAGGCCGAGGAATGTACTTAGTTGCTCTATGATTTTTAACTGAAATTCTAAACTCAGGAGTGAGTGCCTTCTTGTTTGGAAAAATATTAGCGTTATTCTATTTGAAATTGAACAGATATAACCATAGTTGACCTTCTACTTTGGGACTTGAACAGGATGTGAGTAGCTATTTATACAGGGGATGACATAGCCATACAACAACTCTACATAGTTTTTAAAAAATAGTTGACAAGGCAAATCTAATTTACAGTGAGACCATCTCACACCCATTAAGATGGCTAACATTGAAAAAATGGAAAATAAATGTAGGTGGTGATGTGGTTATATTGGAACCCTGCGCACTGCTGATGGAAATGTAAAATGGGGTAGCACCTGTTGGAGGCGGTTTGCCGATGTCTTAAAAAGCTAAACAGTTACCATGTGATCTAGCAATCCTACTTTTAGATATATATGCAAAAAAAAAAAAAAAAGAATGAAAGTAGAGACTCGAGCAGATACACGTACACTGGTGTTGATAGCAGCATTATTCATAATTGCCCCGAATGGAAACAACTCAAATGTCTTTCGATGGATTAATGGAAAACAAAATATTATATATGTATACAATGAAATATCATTCAGCCTTAAGAAGGAATGACATTTTGATACATGCTACAATGTAGGTGAACCTTGAAAAACAGTGTGCTAAGTGAAATAAGCCACTCAGCAAAGGACAAATATTGTATGTTTCCACTTACATGAGGTACGTAGCCTAGAAAGACAGGAATTAGAGGGTACCAAGGGCTAGGGTGCGGGAAGAGGGGGAAGATACTGTTTAATGGCTACAGCCACTGAACTATATAAGGACAAATGGTCCAACTGGCAAATTTCATATTATGCATATATCATAATTTTAAAAACACTCCGTATCCCCCCAAATGGAATTCCTTTCAATTTAAAGACATAACCATAGATACCTTTTTATATTGAGAGCTACATCCCCAACACGTAACTCTTTCCTCACGTAAAATTTAAAAACAACCCAGCAGAACATTCAGTGCCATTAAACACCAGCCTTCCTTCCATTATAGTCCGCATCATATTGAAGTAATTATAACTTTTATTCGTAATCACCCTACTCCCAAGTGACTACACTGCTTATTATCTTGGGTCAGTTGCCAAGACAGGCTCTATGCTATCGCAGCGTTATACCAGAACTGCAGATGGAGATGCTCCGACATGCCATCAGTTAACCAGGTCAAGCAGGAACTCCCAGTCCGTTCATCAAAACCTGTAGCTCTGCAGCTGAGAGACCAAGAGTAAAGTCATTAAGGAGGGCATGCTAGGTCGGGTTGAACTCTGACATGCAACTCTCAAAAATAAAATACTTCTATCTCTAGACCTGCTTTTCCCATGTCCATTATCGATGACTTCGAAGAGCTGGTTGAGAAGGCAGCGCTGTACTAGGGGAGGCCACGTGGAGACATGCCAGGTAAGCCTTTAAGTTCAACTCTTAGGACTCTATTTACTGCCGGAAAACTTTGGTACACATGATTCCATGCTTTTGAGACAGCAAAAAATCAGAAACGATTATTTAACAGTGATGGTTATTATTGCTCATAATAATAATAAGCAGCTGAAGTTCATTAGACGTCAGGTGTCAAGCACTGACATAATTCCCATAATACTCTGTACTATTACTATCTGATTTTGCCAGGGAGGCTCGGAGAGGTAAAGAACTTGGCTCATGGTTATAGTGTCGGTCATCGGTAGCGTTTGGACTCACACGTGGGGTTGGGGTGACTCCAGAGAATAGGTCCTTAACCATTACACTCATTTACACATTAACTCACAAAAATAAGACAGGACACGTCCCACCTGTTTTATTTAAAAACAAAACAAAACTGGAATTTAGACTTCAACCCTGTAGTCTCTGTTTATTAGAAGTTCCTGTGTTTCTTCAGATTCCCCCAGGTCTCCTGGTATTGGTTCCTAGTTTGGCCCAACACCTGACTGACCGCCAGGCTGAGTAGCACCTGAAGGTTGGGATTCTGAGTTTCATCTAGAACTTGAGCCTTCCCAGATTCGGGATCATTATTAGAATCAGCCAGATTCTTCCAAACCTAATCAAAGCGCTCTTTTATTTCCAGTGATTTCAGTACTTAGCTATTGTTGCTATTCCTTTCATCTTTATTTATAGAAAAAACAGAAGGTTTTAGAGGACTATATTTAGAAATGCCATCTGGTAGGCAAACTATTGAACAAAAATGTTTTGTTCTTTTCATGGGACTGCATTACTTTGAAATGTAATTAAGTTTCAGGATGGTTGTTTGCTGCTTTTACGGTGGATCTTTTGACCTGTTGAACTTGGGAATATTATCCCTGGAAGATCTGTATTGATGCATTCTTTTATTCTCTGTGTATCTCTTAATGTTGTTGTTGCTACTCATTTGCTGTCAGCCAGTCTATATGCCCATTGTTGACGCACTCCCTTCTGGTAACTTCCATGTCTGAACTAAGAAAAGCAAGGAAACAAAATAAAAGCAAAAAAAGAAGAAACTCCCATTTTGCAGAGTTTTGAAATCTCTTGGGATCTAACAGGAAACTGTTCAGATCTGAGCTTGGTTCGCTGCTCTACAATGCTTTAGGTCACACTTGTTGGCTTTAAAGAAATGATTAAAAGATTAGCCATTTAGAATAGTATATTTGGTATTTTCAAAGATTACAGTTCAATGAAATAATGATAGTTGTATAGCCGCGGGGTTCTACATTTTTCTGTTTTACTCATTCTTGAGCATCAGATCATATCCATTGGTTGCTTTTTATCTGTTGCATCATTCTGAGAAACAGAGAAACACATGTACACAAAGAATACACACATACTGGATAAAATGACTCAGTGTTGGGTAATTATTAAAATTTTATAAATTAACAACCTAAGTTTCTTTACACATTACCCTTAGTCATTTATGAAAAAACAAACAACCAAAAAAAGCTAAGGAAAACTTAAAGGTACTGAATTCTTATGAAACAGAACTAAACTCTTTAGAAAGGAATGATTGTATGAGATTATAAATTTTAACATAGCCATTGCTTCAGTTCTGGGACCTTAAACTCTTTGAGTTTATATTTCCTGTTCTGGGCTCAAATGTCCTTTATACCTATTCCTACAGCAAGTAGGGTTCCCACTACATGTAGCGTTTTCACATTTGACCATTTACTTTTCTGTCATTCCCATTCCTTCCTCCCACACTATGGGCCTAAAAACAATCAACAGAAATAAAGAGCTTTTATTTAATAATTTAATATCGCCACTGTGCTGAATACTTCGTGATTATTCTCTTTCTTGAAGGTAGGCTGTGGGGCGGGGGTGGGAGAGAGAGAGAGACAGAGAGAGACAGACAGAGAGAGACAGAGGGACAGAGACAGAGAGAAACAAAGAGACAGGGAGAGAAAGAGTGAGTGAGTGTGTGTGTATAAAGAGAAAGAATTTTCACTTAATTTTTCTCCCATATTCCCCGTTAGTTTATATTTACATGGTTACCATAGAATTCATAGTAAACAAAGGATGATCAAAATATCATTAACTACAGCTGTGTTAATAGAAAAAGTACAAGAGATGAACAAGCAACCTACTCAATAATTTACATTAAAAAAAACACACACTAAACATCAGCTTTTGGAAACTTAACTAACAATCTCAACTTGCTTTGATTTGTACCAAGGATGGTCTTTGAAAAGCTATTTACCTGTATAATTTATTTCTCACTTCTAATGATTTGTATATTCTTCTTAAAAACATTGAAGTCTAAGTGGAAAAACATTAATAATATTTTGTTTATGAAGACAAGTGGGTTGACTGTAATAAAAATATTGATTCATGTCTTGCTTCTCAGTGAGACATGCCACCCATGAAGACTGCTGGCACTTGTTTTTAGTAATATAATTTCAAGAAAGCAGGAAAAAGTACATACTTTCCTTTACAAAAGTACGAATTACTTATTTTTCTTAACAAAAAATGTAAAGTGCATCAATATTCAGCGTAGACTGAAAACAATTTAATGGCAATTTTTTTGCCTACACTATGTAAAGTATTAAAAGGGCTTGTAATTTCTTAACATAGATTATGAGACTGTCTATCCCTTTCTATACAGCATAGAGTAAAATTTTAAGACTAAAGAAATTAAAACATTAAAAGATAAATAGTGACAGCTTTCATTAAGTTACTTTTTTCTTTTATTCCCCCTAAGGAGTAGATTCACATATGCTATATACATTTAAATCTTCATCTTCCCCAGAACAAAAAAGCATCTTATTTATGCAGGTTATTGAGTTTTTTACATCGTGCAGGTGGAGTTGATAGACAAAAAATCGTGTTTCATGGTTATTAACATCGTCGAATACACTAACGAGTTCTCTCTCTTGTCACTCTTCTCACGGAATAGTGCTGTTCGGTCACATGGTTAACATCTGGAAGCCACTTGGGGTAATGGCTACCACCAACTTGTTGCTTATTCAGAGAAGACACTAGCATAGAAGTAGGGAAGGCAAATTCCTTGTTCCTTTGATACCCGTATAGACTCGCATCTCATCGTTGTCTATAAGCTATTTCTTGGTCCCGTGAAAAGACTGAACTATCAAAAAATATGTTCTTTGTCTTAAAACGAACTTGCAGAAAACATAAAAATGCACATGAAACCTCTTGATTGTTTCAGTTCCCTCAGGATGTTATTTGCATTTTGACCCGTGGCCCTGGCCATAAACACGAGGTGCAAGCATTTTTTTTTTTCCCTGCAAGATTTGCTTTGTGCAAAGCAGCAGGCGTCCCTCGTAATGTCATGAAGGCGGTTTGTTCATTTCTGAGTAAAGAAGAAAAAAAAGAAGAAAAATATAGAGTGTGATATTAAAAGTGCAGCCATTCTCTTCGTACTCAGTAGCAACCATTTCTTAACCGTGTTCCACCATCTCTCAGGCATTTCTAATAGAGTTAATGCTAGAAGCGTCTCTAAGGATTTCATTTCAAAGATTCATGTGAGCTCCAGAAAGCAGCACACAAATACTGTAAAGAACCAAATAGATATATTCTTAGGTAGTGATCTGTAGTACATACACATTAGGGGAAAAAAAAAAGCTTGCTCTTTATATTCAAAATTATGCTAATCGTGGCAATTATTTGGGCATCTGAAGCTTAAAAGGAAGCCCTTTGAAGAGAGGGCTTTCATTTGCCATGGTGGTAGCTATCCTCCGAGGTTGTCATTGTTTGTAATTATTGTCATTTTTGACCTGTGGTTGATGAAATCCTTTCCTCAAAAGATGTCACCGCATTCCGCGTGACTCCATTCTGAGATGTTCTGCTGAAGTTTCTTGCCCACCTCTCACGCTGTTTGAAAAAGTGCACGTGGCATCCCTGAGAGAGTTTCTGGCAGGCCTTGCTGTTTGCAGGTGACCCTTGTAAGCCCCCAAGCCTCGGGTATGTTTTGTGCCTAGCCCAGTGAAGCTGTGTTGCCATGGCCATCATTTGAGTTCGAGTGGCTGAAAAAAAATCTCATGGCAAGTGGTACAAAATCGGTGATCGTTTATGTGTCTAGATGTCCTATGATAGATGTAAAATTGTCCCGTATTCACCACTCCCCAAATGTGAATAGTCTGAGTCTTTAAAAAGAGAAAACTGTAATAATCTTCTCTTCAGGAGTGAAATCAGAAGTCAGTGTTAGCTTCCCGGACATGACGTAGGTAGGTGGTAAGCCGCCTTTACGTTCTTAGTCATCCTAGAAGTTTACGGGATACCCCAGAGTTAGTAACTATTACCCGGGGATAGAGTAGAGTCTTTCATTAAACTTAACTAAGTTAGTTAAAAGTGTCAACAGCACTGGTCGACTGCCAGCTATATCCTGAGCAATCGTAAGGAAGATAATTGATAAGTCTATATTCTTAAAAAAACCTACATTTCCTTTCTGTAGCTCAGAGTAGAACAACAGAGTGATGAGAGATAAGATACAATTTAAAGCTATCTGCTTAATAGCTAGAACCTACTACAAGTAATCAAAATCCTTCCTGTCTACAGTTTTGCTGTACGTAATGGTAAACTGAATCCTGACTCAGCAGAAGTAACTTTGAGAGTAATAATAGTGAGAGGGGATAGATTTCTTCCTGGAAATCTTCTGCCATTTGCAGAATTGGCATTAGTTTATGAGGAAAATGCTCCAGTGATACATTTGATTAAATTATGTAAGAGAAAAACGGTAATACAACTCAGCTCATGTAACCATAGTCTTCCATCGCGTCCCATAAAATATACTCAAATACTCTGAAAATTTTGGAAAAGGTCACTTTTTACTGACGTCTTCATGTCATTGCACATTTTAAGAGTTATAATCAGTATTCCCTCATTTCATCCTATTATTTATTAATCGGCACATGGTTTAGACCATCCAAGTGGTACTTCTCCCAAATATTAGCTATGCTTTTTGTTTTTCTCAATTAACATTTATA